AATGTCAGTGGTGGTTTAATAGGAATAGCATTGAGTCTATAAATTGCTTTGGGCAGTGTGGGCATTTTGATGATATTGATTCTTCCTATCTATGAGCATCAAATGTTTTTCCATTTGTTTGTGTCGTCTCCAATTCCTTTGAGCAGTGTTTCATAGTTCTCCTGGGAGAGCGCCTTCACCTCCCGGGTTAGCTGCGTGCCTGGGTAGTTTGTTCTTTTCGTGGCTATTGTGAATGGCATTGTGCTTCTTATTTGACTCTCAGCTTGACTGTTATTGCCATTAAGGGATGTTGGTAATTCTTGCACATTAATTTCGTATCCTGTTTATCAGCTTAAGGAGCTTTGGGGCTGAGACTGTGAGATTTTCTAGATATGAAATCATGTCATCTGAAAATTGGGATAGTTTGACTTCCTCTCTTCCTATTTGAATGCCCTTTCTTTTTTTCTCTTGCTTGAATGTCTTGCCCAGAAATTCTAATACTATGTTGAATAGGAGGGGTGAGAGAGGGCATCCTTGTCTTGTGCTGGTTTTCAAGGGGAATGCTTCCAGCTTTTGCCCACTCATTGTGATGTTGGCTGTGGGTTTCTCATAGATAGCTCTTATTATTCTGAGGTATGTTCCTTCAATACCTGGTTTATTGAGAGGTTTTTTTTAAACCATAAAGCAGCGTTGAATTTTATTGAAAGCCTTTTCTACATCTATTGAGATAATCGTGATTTTTGTCTTTAGTTCTCTTTGTATGATGACACTTATTGATTGGCATATGTTGAACAAACCCTGCATCCTAGGAATAAATTCTACTTGATTGTGGTGGATGAGCTTTTTGATGTGCTTCTGGATTAAGTTTCCCAGTATTTTGTTGAGAATTTTCAAATCAGTGCTCATCGAGGATATTGGAAGTTTTCTTGTTTTGTTGTATCTCTGCCAGCTTTTTGTATCTGGATGATGCTGGCCTCATAAAATGAGTTAGGGAGGAATCTATCCTCCTCAATTTTTTGGAATAGTTTCAGCAGGAGCTCTTCTTCATACATCTGGTAGAATTCAGCTGTGAATTCATTTTGTCTTTGGATTTTACGTATTTATTAATTTTTTATTGTTAAGCTATGCATTATTAACTCATTTTCAGAGCTTGTTCTTGCTCTTTTCAGGGATTCAATTTCTTCCTGGATCAGTCTTGGGAGGGTGTATATGTCCAGGAATTTATCTTTCTTCTAGATTTTCTAGTGTGTGATGTACCACATTTTCCTTATCCAGTTTACCATCGATGGTCACCCTGGTTAATTCCACATCTTTACTTTTGTAAATAGACTGGTGGTGAACATACTAGTGCATGTGTCTTTCTAGTATAATGATCTATTTCCTTTTGAGTATATACCCAGTAATGGGATGGTTAGGTGGAATGGTAGCTCTATTTTAAGTTCTTTGAGAAATCTTCAAACTGCTTTCCACATGGGCTAAACTAATTCCCTTTTTTTCTACAGCCTTACCAGCATATATGGTTTTTTGACTTTTTAATAATGGCCATTCTGACTATTGTGAGACGGTATTCCATTGTGGTTTTGATTTGCATTTTTCTGGTGATTAATGATGATGAGCTTTTTTTTTTTGTCACTAGCATGTCTTCTTTGAGAAGTGTCTGTCATGTCCTCTATTCAGTGTTGAATGGAGTTATTTGGGTTTTTGCTTATAGATTTATTTAAGTTCCTCAATATTAGACATCTGTTGGATGCATAGTTTGTGAATATTTTTCCCCCACTACATAGGTTGTCTGTTTACTCTGTTGATAGTTTTGTTTGCTCTGCAGAAGCTCTTTAGTTTAATTAGGTTCCACTTGTCAAATTTTACTTTTTTTTCCTTAATATATATTTCATTGCATTTTACGTTTTGGGGTACAGGTGAAGAATATGCAAGATTGTTGCATAGGTGCATACATGGCAATGTGGTTTGCTGCCTTCCTCCCCATCACCTATATCTGGCATTTCTCCCCATGTTATCCCTCCCCAACTCCCCACCCCCACTGTCTCTCCCCTAGTTTCCCCCCATAGACCCCAGGGTGTGATGCTCCCCTCCCTGTGTCCATGTGTTCTCATTGTTCAGCATTCACCTATGAGTGAGAACATGCAGTGTTTGATTTTCTGTTCTTGTGTCAGTTTGCTGAGAATGATTGTTTCCAGGTTCATCCATGTCCCTACAAAGGGCATGAACGCATCATTTTTATGGCTGCATAGTATTCCATGGTGTATATGTGCCACATTTTCCCTATTCAGTCTATCATCGATGGGCATTTGGGTTGGTTCCAGGTCTTTGCTATGGTAAACAGTGCTGCAGTGAACATTCGTGTGCATGTGTCCTTATAATAGAATGTTTTATACTCCTTTGGATATCCACCCAGTAATGGGATTGCTGGGTCAAATGGAATTTCTATATCTAGGTCCTTGAGAAATTGCCACACTGTCTTCCACAATGGTTGAACTAATTTACACTCCCACCAAGAGTGTAAAAGTGTTCCTATTTCTCCACATCCTCTCCAGCATCTGTTGTCTCCAGATATTTTAATGATTGCCCTCTTGGCAGAACTGGAAAAAACCACCTTAATCTTTATATGGAAACAAAAGAGAGCCCACATAGCCAAGACAATTCTAAGCAAAAAGAACAAAGCCAGAGGCATTGTGCTACCTGATTTCAAACTATACTACAAGGACACAGTAATCAAAACAGCATGATAGTTGTACTGAAACAGAGATATAGACCAATGGAACGGAACAGAGGCCTTGGAGGCAATGCCACACATCCGCAACCATCTGATCTTTGACAAACCTGACAAAAACAAGCAATGGGGAAAGGATTCCCTGTTTAATAAATAAATGGTATTTGAAAACTGGCTATCCATCTGCAGAAAGCAGAAACTGAGCCCTTTCCTGACACCTTACACTAAAATTAACTCCAGATGTGTTAAAGACTTAAACATAAGACCTAACACCATAAAAACCCTAGAAGAAAACCTAGGCAAAACCATTCAGGACATAGGCATAGGCAAGGACTTCATGACTAAAACACTAAAAGCATTGGCAACAAAAGACAAAATAGACAAATGGGACCTAATCAAACTCCAGAGCTTCTGCACAGCAAAAGAAATAATCACTAGAGTGAACTGGCAAGCAAGAGAAAGAAAAAAATTTGCAATCTACCCATCTGACAAAGGGCTAATATCCAGCATCTACAAAGAACTAAAACAGATTTACAAGAAAAAAAAACCCATCCAAAACCAGGAGAAGGATATGAACAGACACTTTTCAAAAGAAGACATTTATGAGGCCAACAAACATATGAAAAAATGCTCATCATCACTGATTATTAGAGAAATGCAAATCAAAACCACATTGAGATACCATCTCACACCAGTCAGAATGGCGATCATTTAAAAATCTGGAGACAACAGATGCTGAAGAGGATGTGGAGAAATAAGAATATTTTTACACTGTTGGTGGGAGTGTAAATTAGTTCAACCATTGCAAAAGACAGTGTGGTGATTCCTCAAGGATCTAGATATAGAAATTCCATTTGACCCAGCAATCCCATTACTGGGTATATGTCCTAAGGATTATAAATCATTCTATTATAAAGACACATGCACACGAATGCCCATTGTGGCACTGTTTACCATAGCAAAGACCTGGAACCAACCCAAATGCCCATCGATGATAGACTGGACAGGGAAAATGTGGCACATATACCCCATGGAATACTATGCAGCCATAAAAACGATGAGTTCATGTCCTTTGTAGGGACATGGATGAACCTGGAAACGATCATTCTCAGCAAACTGACACAAGAACAGAAAATCAAACACTGCATGTTCTCACTCATAGGTGGGTGTTGAACAATGAGAACACATGGATACAGGGAGGGGAGCATCACACACTGGGGTCTGTTGGGGGAGATAGGGGAGGGAAAGCAGGGGGTAGGGAGGTTGAGGAGGGATAACTTGGGGAGAAATGCCAGATATAGGTGATGGGAGAATGGAGGCAGCAAACCACATTGCCATGTATTTACCTATGCAATTCTGCACATGTACCCCAGAACTTAAAGTGCAGTAATGTGTGTGTGTGTGTGTGTGTGTGTGTGTGTGTGTGTCTACTCCACTGAGTCATTCAAAGGTGGATTTAATACTTTTTGAAAAAATCTGTAATTTATTTCCATGGTTTTGATCAGTTTTGTACCTATAGATCAACCAATCCAGAAGAAATGTTTTAACACAGAGCCTTACGATCACAGAAATTTTTTTTAATGGGAGTGATCAGTAAAATATTTCCAGAAATAAACATGAATAACATTGCATCTAAATTTGAATAAAAAAATATCAGTGAAAATGTGCATTCACAGCCATAAAATTGAAAAAAAAAACACATGCACACAATGAAGGGAACAATAGGGGGCAAGGTGGGATGGTTAATGGGCACAAAATAATAAAAAGAATGAATAAGACTATTACTTAATAGTGCAATTATAATCAATAATAATTTTATATTTTACAATAACTTAAATATTGTAATCGAATTTTTTGATGCAAAGGATAAATGCTTGGGAGGATGGATACCCCATTCTTCATGGTGTGATGATTACACATTGCATGCCTGAATCAAAATATCCCATGTACCCCATAAATATATACACTTACTACGTATCCCATGTACCCCATAAATATATACACTTACTAGGTACCCCCCAAAATTTAGAATTTTTTTTTAAAAAGAAGAGAACAATAGACACTGAGGCCTGCTGAAGGGTGGAGGGTAAGGAGAGGAGAGGACTGAAAAACTACCTATTTGGTGCTATGCTCATTACCTTGGTAAGAAAATAATCTGTACACCAAACCCCTGTGACATGCAATTTACCCATATAACACACCCACATATGTACCCCCTGAACCTAAAATGTAAGTTGAAAAAAAAAGAAAATGTGCATTCACAGAAGAAAAGAAATATGATAGTATTAAATCCATAGAGTGTTTATATTTTATTCTATACACTTACAAAAGTAATACAACAGTTTATTGCAAATACCCACATTTACTGTGTCAAAAAGCACGTTTTTGCAAATATAGGCAAACCTTGGTGATATTGCAGGTTCAGTTCCAGGTCACCAAAATAAAGCAAATATTGCAATAAAGCAAGTCATAAAGATTTTTTTTTGTTTCCCAGTGAATATAAGTTATGTTTACATTCAAATCTATGCACATAAAGAAGAAAATCTGGAGGAAATGGATAAATTCCTGGAAACACACAATCTCCCAAGATTGAACAAGGAAGAGACAGAAACCCTGCATAGAGCAATATCAAGCTCTCAAGTTGAATTAGTAATAAAAATCTTACCAACTAACCAAAAAGCCCTACACCAGCTGAATTCTACTAGATGTATAAGAATAACTGGTACCAATCCTACTGAAACAGTGCCAAAAAATCAAGAAGGAAGTTCTCCTCCCTAACGCATTCTATGAAGCCAGCATCAGCCTGATACAAGTATCTGGCAGAGACACAATGGAAAAAGAAAATTTCAAGCCAACATTCCTGATGAGCATATATGCAAAAATTCCCAACAAAATACTCGCAAACTGCATTCAGCAGCACATAAAAAAGTGAATACACCACAAGTCCTGTTCTCATCACTTCATAGTAGTGAAGGTGAGACCTTGTATGTCTTATTCATTCTTCCCTCAACTCTTTTTTTTTTTGAGACAGAGTCTCGCTCTTGTTCCCCAGGCTGGAGTGCAATGGCGCGATCTTGGCTCACTGCAACCTCCGCCTCCTGGGTTCAGGCAATTCTCCTGCCTCAGCCTCCTGAGTAGCTGGGATTACAGGCATGCACCACCATGCCCAGCTAATTTTCTGCATTTTTAGTAGAGACGGGGTTTCACCATATTGACCAGGATGGTCTCGATCTCTTGACCTCGTGATCCACCCCCCTCGGCCTCCCAAAGTGCTGGGAAGGCTTGAGCCACTGCACCCGGCCTTCCCTCAACTTTTTACATACTGATTGCTTAAGAGAAGGCAGCAGAAATAATTTATTTGCACAGTGTCTGGATGTAGTAGCACTTCAATGACTATTAATAAGTAAAAGAAGATACTGGAGAAGGAAAATGATCAGAACAAAAATGATGACAGGAGATGCTCATTCTGGCTGTGGCAGGTGATAAGCCTCGAGCATTTTCATGAGGTTTTATGGCAAGTCTTAATCATGCCCCATTCTTGTTGTTGATCTTCCCTTCTGGTTCCTCCAAGTGTTATTACTTCTTCACAGAAGAGTAGATGACTTGAGAGTCCTGGGAGAGACATACAGGAATAAGGACCTAAGTGATCAAGGAAATAAATATGGTGGAGGAAGGAAAGATCAAGAACTTCCAAGGAGTCTAGCTCACCTTGTTCTCCAGAAATGTCCTGATGTTTGCTGTTAAGAAAAAAGTAATAGTTCTGAGCCCTTGCATTCTCACTTAGGCCTCACTCCCAGACTTCATGCCCCAGAACACAGAACTACTATGCTTAGTGTGTGGAACTCCATTTTCTCCTGTTCTGTAAAATCCTTCTTAAAGTTGTTAACGCTGAAGTCCTTCTAAGACTCTATCCATCATCCAAGCCCTCCACCACTTACTAACAAAGCCCTTCCCTTCTCTAATGCAACTTCCCATAGGTCGCTGTCTTTTTAATTTTTTCTTCTTGACTTCTCTATTACAGAATCCTGCCAGGGCTGTTTCCTGTTGTTTCCCTATATTCCTGTGTGGTTCACCTCACTATATAGAAGGAAATCGGAGCAGAAGCATAGATAACAGAAGACAGATTCTCAATCACACAGCATTTTGAGTGGTTGCAGGTGCTGCTTAGTGATGTCTGCTTCTTTTCCCCTTCTTTCCAGGTATGCATAGTGGGATGAAATCTCTTTTCTTCTCCTGAAGATGTATAGCTAGAGGGCTTGGAAAACAAACATCCAGTGAAAATGAAGGCACCTTTTTGATTCTGCTAGGCTGGTCAGAAAGAGAAAGAGAATGATAGGGTAATCAGTTCGCTATAGGAAGCTGAAGTGGCACAAATCTAAGCAAGGCAGGCAGAGGACCCAGCTTCAGAGGAGAGTAGCTAGATGACCACTGACCAGGAAAGCAGCCAAGCTGTCAACAGCCACTGGCTCCCTCAGAGGCAACCAGGAACACAGGAAAAGGACAGCTTTTAGGGTTGTGGGAATAAGGGTTACAGTTTTAAGGGCACTGGAGCAGAAGCTTAAAGGACATTCCTCTGCACTGCTGCAGAGCTCCACAATTCCTGCAAAGCTACACGTCAAAGTAAAAATTCTCTAGATCAGGTTTTTTCCTCCAGTTGCTCTTCCCATCCCATGTGAAGACTGCAGATCCTTCAAAAGAGATACTTTCATGACCCTGATCACCTAAGAGAATCCTGGACCTTGGACATGCTCATTCTTGCCTGATTTCCTTCTTTGCCTTATATCTTAGATTCTCCCTGACTATCTAACCCCATTCAGATGAAGACTCATCAGACCATGCTCCCTGCTGAATTGACAGATTTCATATCAAGGGCAAGCGATATATTAAAGTTGCTACTGCCGGCCAGGTGCAGGGACTCACACCTGTAATCCCAGCACTCAGGGAGGCCAAGGCAGCTGGATCACTTGAGGTTGGGAGTTTGAGACCAGCCTGGCCAACAGGGTGAAACTCTGTCTCTACTAAAAATACAAAAATTAGCTGGGTGTGGTGACACATGCCTGTCATTCCAACTACTTGGGAGGCTGAGGCAAGAGAATTGCTTGAACTTGGGAGGCAGAAGTTGCAGTGACCTGAGATTGCACCACTGCGCTCCAGCCTGGGTGACAGAACAAGACTCCATCTCAAAAATAAATAAATAAAGCCTCTATTGCATACAATGCATCACTTTCTTGGGAATACACATCTGACAAGAACCACTTGGCTTTTTCTCACCTGAGTCTTCTGGCTGCTGGCTGCTCCAGACCTGAGAGTAAACCACATCCGTATCTACAGAGCCCACTGCAGAGAGAAGACAAGAGTTCACAGATGTTGGTGGCCAAGGGTTCAGACTTCATACACATCTCCCCAGACCCTGGCTTAATGATCCGGAATGGCTTCCTCCCAACTCCAATACGATTCCGAGAGAGTCATTTGTTTATTGGGAATGGCTGGGCCTCAGGGGTCGGGGTGGCTAGACGGGTCTCTACTTCTGTCTCCTCTTTCTTTTCTGCCTCAGCCTCAGAGCCCCTCCCAGTGGAGAAACTCACCGTTGGCATACACTGGCTGCAGCTCCTCCATGTCTGGGATTGGGCTGGAATGGGTGGATGCTTGAGGATTTGGCCTGGAAGCACCTCTGTGAGAAAGTGAATTAACTGCATGAGACTCCAGGGCTGTGAGTGAGAACAGAGGTGAGACAGGCTGGGGAGAGCAGGTAGAAGCCAGGGCTGTGAGTGAGAACAGAGGTGAGACAGGCTGGGGGAGAGCAGGTAGAAGCCAGGGCTGTGAGTGAGAACAGAGGTGAGACAGGCTGGGGGAGAGCAGGTAGAAGCCAGGGCTGTGAGTGAGAACAGAGGTGAGACAGGCTGGGGAAGGGCAGGTAGAAGCCAGCGCTGTGAGTGAGAACAGAAGTGAGACAGGCTGGGGAAGGGCAGGTAGAAGCCATGCAATGATGACTCTATGCTTGGGTGATTTTATGTCCCTTTTACAGACTACTTTGATTTGGCGAAAATGTTGTTCCTCATCTTTGGCTTTTCCAAAAGTTATAGATAGACAATGATATTGCTCCAGAATCATTTTCTTTCTTATAAACTGTCATAAAAATTTGCCTGCCTTTTTCCCATTGCTTTATCTCTCTCTCTCACTCCTTCTTGTACTCTGGATTTATATTACATATCTGTAAGACAGTATGTCCCTTGAGGAAATAACATTTTATGCATATTTTCATTCCTCTAAATACCTAACAAAAACTTATTCATTATATGTGTTCAATAATCTTGAATATATGAATTCATAAATTAAGTTAAATGTATCTAATCCTATACAAGATAACACCTAGGCTCATGTGGACCACAATAAAACAGTGCCCTGGTGGTGTAAATGTGATGCGGTAGAGACAAGAGTATCACAGAAAGATGCCATGTAATTACATAGCCTCAATCTATGTACAGAGTTCAGTGGATATTTAAAACTGTGAATGAAGGAGACCTCTAGAATTAAAATTTTTACTAGAAAGAATTCTCACCTGGGTTCACTAGTTGCATAACGTTCTGAAAAGCAAATAAAAGAAAAGTCATTCAGGGAAGGAAGCTTTATCTCTTAAAATTCTGACATGATTTAACTATGTATAATCAGCTGGCAAGACATAGGATATAGAAGAGCAATCCAATTGTATTTCATCTAAATGGCTACATATTTATTCCAACACAACTAGTTGTTAGAAAAACAATTCATTCTTTTTTTTCCCCACTGATTTATAATGCCACTTCAAATGGCAAACGCTGCATGAACTGGTAAGTGTTTCTTGATTTTCTATTCTGTTCTATTGTCTCTTTATCTATTCGTGTACCCGTACAATGTTATTGTAACTATCATAAAATGTAACATATTTTAACCACTGATGACACTAATTTTATCTTATTACTCTTCCGTAGTAGATTTTATGCAGCCATTCTTAATTTGTAAATGTGTGCGATACCTAGTCTGTAGCAGTGATCTTGGGGCTGGGCTGAATACTGACCTCTGTAAGGCACAGCAGGCCATCTGTTGCACCATTTTGCTTTGCAGAGAGATGTAAAACAAGAAACGCAGCATATCACCATCGACACATCAGCTGTGTCTTCAGAGGGAGTTCTCATAATGATGCAGGAGATATTTTCTAATCCTCCAATTAGGAGCTCAGGAAACAATGCCACATGGATGTGTATAGGGGCCAGCCTGGCTCAAAAGCTTCATGCTTCATAGAAATCATTATCATTTGTGACATCTGTGAGTATATGAGTGTAGCTTCCAGAGGTCACCCCGATAAGACACATGCTAAATTTCAAGAGTGCACTTGAGGATACTCCGGTTGTGCTTCCCATCAGGCTTATATAATCCTGGTCAAAGCCCTCCCAGTTTAGATGCAATTTGCCAATCATGGAAAATGCTGCTAGCAGCTCTGCCAATATTTCAACTGTGTTAAGTTTTAAGGAAAACAGTGCTAGGAAATTGACTTGGACTGAGTTTGCCAAGGACAAGGTAAAACTTCTTCATAATTAGCTTGTTTAGTCTTCAAGGAAAGGAATGACCTCAGAATTGTCTGCCAAGCCAAACTGTCATTAAGGCATGTCAAGGGGAAATCAGTCATATTCAATCACGTATTAAATCTGTGTGTATGTTTCTAGGAACTCCTTCCTGAAGAAATTATTTTAAAACGGACCAGAATAGTTCTGTCTAAGCACTTTTGAATAATAACAAAATCTGATGATACATTGGTTCACAAAGAAAACCTCCAAAATATTTCAAAAATGAACATGATACAAATAATATTCTTTGATCATAATGGAACTGGTAATTCATAACAAAACTATGGAAAAATTGACATATGTCTATAATTTATCAGTTTAAAGGAAGCAAGTCTTAAGCAACTGAATACATATACAAATATATAAGAAAAAGAGGAAAACTAAATATCCAATTTGTCCAAAAGAATAAAACTAACAAAGACGAAAGGTAATAACTAACAAAGATGAAAGCAGAATTCTAGAATTAAAAAGCAAAATTGGTAGAACAAATAATAAATTCTAAGTTTTACCCTATAGGAGATAGAGGTGCTATCTTTCTAGATGATTACATTTCAAAGGGACAGCTCCCAAGTCCTAGAGATAGACATTTCTGGGTTGTAAAACTGGCAAGAGGCTAAGAGAAATTTGTATCTCAAAGAAGCAGAGAGAGGATTTACAGTTGCAAGTTTTCTAAAGTAAATACTCTAAGAAAAGGGAGATGAGGAGTATATAGTCAATCTGAGGACACTATTAAGGCCAGCTTGGTTCGGGGAGGAGTGCCCCGTGTGGACACATGCCTGAGGAATCTTAAGGAGCAAACTTCCTCTTGAAAAGCAGGTGAAGGAACATTCATTTCAGGGAAGATAGGGTCATCTGCCTGAGGCAGGAGCTGCATATTGACAGGTGGGTGCAATGGTGTGTGAGTGTTCTTGTGGATGCATCTGAGCCCTGTGGAAAAGAGGCCTAGCTTGAAGCCATTTAAAAATCTGCCCAAGATGACTGCCTGAAAGGTATGGGGTATGGGGTTCCAAAATGAGGGTGGAGGGGAAGGGGAAGAAGGCTCTAGATTCTTAGAAACTGAAGAGAGATGCTAAGTGCTCAGCTAGAGAAAAATGAATCACCTGCAAGAAGGGTAGGTAATGTTAATAGTTGGGGGGCTCTGGAGAATCCAGAAGCATCCCACCAAAATAAGAGCTGATTTTCTCAATCCAGCAAACCTGGAGAGTCAGCTTTTTTGGAGCCAGAGGAAATCAGTGCCAACCACAGGGGCTTCAAAAACAGAAGCTAGTTGAGGAGAGAGAGAAACATCTGGCTAGAAACCTTTACACACTGCAGAAGGCTGGCCTGAGGAGGGTCTGAGGTGAGTGGGTGGGAGCTGAGTGCTTTAACTTTGTGATTCAGAAAGCTTTTCATCGTTATTGCATGAGACCAAGCACACTGATTAATAAACAAGGACTCTGGAGAAACTACGTTTTTTGTTGTTGTTGTTGTTTGCCTAAAATTACATAAAAGTGATATGGTTTATCTGTGTTCCCACCAAAATCTCATCTGGAATTCCCACATGTTGTGGGAGAGGCCCAGTGGGAGGTAATTTCATCATGCGGGCAAGTCTTCCCCGTACTGTTCTTGTGATACCGAATTTACATCTTTGGTAAATTGCCCAGTCTCAGGTGTGCCTTTATAAGCAGTATGAAAACCAACTAATACAAGGAGTAAGTGGGTAGACTATGGGCCTACCTGAGATTTCAACCAGAGTAAGGGAAAATATAAGCCCCTAATAGTGAGTGTGAATGGGCATCGGGAAGAGGGAGACAAAAAATTAAGTTTTATGGTTGTACCCCAAGAGTACCCTGGCTCAATGAATCAATTACAATAGCAAAAATCAATCAATATTTCAGGATTAAGCTTAGCAAGAAATGATGAAAGCCTATATAAGTAAAACCCTAAAATACTATGACTTAAAATTATCCATGCTCTTGGATAGAAAAATTTCTCATTATAAAACTGTCAATTCTTCCTTAGTTAATCTCAAAATTTAAGAGAATTCTAACAAAAACAATTTCTTGAGAGATACTTGATTAGATTGCTTGTGGGGAAAAATAAATAAGCAATAACATCCAGAAAAATTCCGTAAGAATAACATAGTCATGATGGGAACAAGCTTGATAGAAGAAATAAATGTATTGCTACAAAGCGAAGGCATACAAACCATACACACAAACACACGCACACACATATTGACATACACACAAACAGAATAGAGCACTAAAGTTAGATCTGAATAGTATTTGACATTTAGTATAGCTAACTGTTTTTATCCACAACACTTCTGTCGCCGGGTGTGTGAGTCTTTTTTCCCCCATACCAGTCAATTTTCCAACTCTTACAATTAATCTCAGTTCTGAAACTACTCAGAGTTAGTGTAGGCCCCACAGGTAGAGGGCTGTGTCCCGCAAAACTGCCCTCAACTCCAGATGCCAATAATATGTCATGGGCTTCACATCCTTCTGACCAAATGGTTATAAATTGGGGATTCTCATACTCCCTTCTCAGTTTCAGTAATTTTCTATATAGAACTCAAAGAAACACTTTTTATTTTAAAGGATATTATAAAATACACAAATATAAAACCAGATGAAAAAAGTTAGGTAAGGCAATGTCTGGAAGTGTACTGGACACTGGAGTTTCCATTTCCATGGGAATGGGGTGCTCTATCCTCCCAGTACATAGATGTATCCACCAACTGGCAAGCTCCCCAAATCCCATTGTTTAGGATTTTGATAGTACTCCCATTACATAGGTATGATGGATTAAATGATTGACAATTGGTGGTTAGATAAATCATTAGTCCCTCTCCTGTCCTCAGAGGTCCATAGGTGGGGCTGGAAGTTCCAACCCTCTAATCACAGGGTTGATGTTTCTGAAAACCAGCTCTTATCTTGAAGCTATCCAGGAGTCCCTCTGTTGAGACTCATCTCATTAACATACCAAAGACCAACTCTTCTATAAGAACTAGAAAGGCTGGGCAAAAGACTTTTAAAGTCTATTTATAAGCATTGAAAAGGCACTAAGATAGTGAAAAACTGCTGAGACAGGAGAGCAGAGAGGATCAGGGAGTGTGAGGATAAGCCCACCCAGCATGGCTTTGCCCTCCACCTGACCACACCAGAGCACACAGCCTAGAGGCCAGGGAATTACCCAGCCCAGTCCACCACGATGGTACCTAATCCTCCTCCAGGGGGCCTGAGGTTGGGTTTACCAATCCTGCCACTATCACCCCAACTGATACCTACCCACATGCACCACCGGCAGGTCTGAAGTCTGACCTTCCCAGCTTACCACAGCTACTACCAACACCAATATGCACTGTTTGGGACTCAGAGGGTAGTCCTGCCACTGTCACTGCCATTGCCCAAGCCATGCTGGCTGCCCAGGGGCCTGAGGACCCTTTCCCCTGCCTGGCCCAGCATTGCCACTACAGGCATGTGATTAAGTCACTTGGAGAACCAATAATTGGCACACTTTTTGAATACTTTTTGAAGAGCATTCAAATTATTGGGGTCCCAGATGACAAAGACAGAATGAAAAGATTAGAAAAACCTATTTAATGAAATAATAGATGAAAACTTCTAAAGTCCAGCAAAAGATTTAGACATCCAGATACAAAAGCCTCTGAGATCTTCAAACAGATACAATGCAAAAAGGTATTTCCCATGACACACTATAATAAAACAGTCTACAGTCAAATATAAGGAGAGAATTTTTTAAACAGCAAGAGAAAAGCACCTAATCACCTATAAACACACAAACACACACACACACACACACACACACACACACACACACACACACTCCATCATACTAACAGTGAATTTCTCAGAGAAACCTTACAGGCCAAGAGAGAACGAGATTAAATATTCAAAGTACTTTAGACCAAATTCTACTAAATGTATAAAGAACTAACACCAATCCTCCCCAAACCATTAAAAAAAAAAAAAAATTGGAGAGAATGAAATTCTTTAACCCATTCTGCAAGGATAGAATTACCCCGATACCAAAAATGGACATGAAGACAGACAACAAAGAAAACTCCCAGCCAATATCCCTGATGAACACAGACACAAACATCTTCCTCTAAAGAGGGGAGGGCTCAGGGAGAAGAACCTCACTTCCGGAACCACTTGCTCCATGGAGCATTTGCTGATTCCAGAGAGGACAGTCAAGAGGCTTGTGCTTTTGATAGTGTTGTGGGATTTAAAGACATAGTACATCAGAACTCATGGTGATATATGTGGAAATTTTTTAAATGTGGCTTAAAATTCTTTGACAGTAAAGAAGTAAAGTCTGTGCCCTCTCCACTGATATCTGGGCAACTGTGAAGCACCAGGACACAATAACTTTGTGGTATAAGTGATGCAACATCATAATTTTTGAAATTAGTTGATTAAATGTATTGCAGCTTCATTACCACACTTGCTTTTGCAGCCTGAACCAGCATGTTAAAGGTCTGACTGCTTTGAGGTCATCATGCTGTGAGGAAATCCAGGTGATGCTGAGAGGCTCTCTCTGAGTCTCAGCTGAAGCTGCAACACATAGCCAGCATCAACAGCCAGACATGTGGGTGAAGATGGCTTCTTATGATCTATATCATAGATCCAAGAATTCAAGGAGTCAGTGCTCTTTTCTTAAAGAAGGTGGCTAATACTAAATGGATAAATAAAAGAAAAAAGAGCACATTAAATTGTTTTAGTTCTTTTAAATCTAGCTCCTCATTACATTTTGCTCCATCATACGTAAGGTAATTACATCTATTGAAAATTATTAAATGGCAATTAAGAATTAGAATTTTTAATTTAAGAGTCAAACATGGAGGGAACGTGTAAATATTTTAATCTCAAGTGACTATGCACAGGGGACAATGACACATTGTATAATTAGCAGTATGACCACATTGAGCATTACATAGGACTTTGCAGAATTTGAAGCCTAAGAAAAAAATTATTGAATTTTGGAGGGTTTCTTTTCTTTCTTTTTTTTTTTTATTTCAATCTATATCAGTAGTAGAAAGGTCAGAGCAAAATATGGAAAATCCAAATAGTAGATACAACCTGATACCTTGTGGAACAGCCAATACAACAGCAAAGCAACAGCAATGAAACCAAGGACACCAAACAGTCCCCCAAGAACTCTGGCTGTCATGAGGTCTCTTCTATGGCCATCGGGTCCTGAGGAAAGAAAGCAGTGCTTCAGCGCCAGAGGTTAAAGACTTGGGCCCTTCTTGTAAATGCTAAGTAGGGATGGTAAATACAAATTCATGGAAGAGGTCACTGAAGTGTAGTCTGTACTCTGTAGTGTGGGGAGAAGAGGAACAGCTGGACGCTGAGATCAACTCCCCCCTCCTCACGCATAGCAGACGTCTCCAGACTGGTGAGACACAGCCATTGTCATCATACTCTGTATCCAGGTAACACCCACCCACCTGAGATGGAGATTGGCACTGCCTCACTGCGCTGGGCCCCGAGGCCATTGTCAGCCTCACAGGAGTAGTTTCCAGAATGTTCTGCAGTCAGAGAAATGTTGAAGGAGGCTCCTCCTCCAGAGGGGGCTGAGCTGTTCCCCAGGGTGACATTCTCATGATAAAACCAGTACAGGATCGGGGAAGAGCCTCTCTGGGCCTCACAGTGAAGTGTCAGCAGATCTCCCACCACAGCCTTGGGCCTGGGAGCCCTGAGGGTGAGGACCGGGCAAGACACTGGAACTGACAGACACAGAGGGGTTATCAGAAAAGATTTGTGATGCTGCAATAGATTCACAAACTCCCATCCTGCAGGCTCAGCAAAGGGCCTGGCCCTGTGGGTATTGTGTACTTCCCATTCTCACATTCCCACTAGAACAGTCAGAGGTAATTTTCTCAGCAATATATTTAGAAGTTTGGGGAGAATATCAGTTCTGGGGTGCTACCTACAGACATAGTCATATGCTGTTCTCATCTGATTGTTTCCTTGTGCCCATCCGGCCCTCTTTTTATTTCTTTTGTTTTGTATCCTGTAACTTTTTATCAGGAAATAATTATAAGATTTCTATAATATTATAGTTTTTCCTAAGAAAACTGATACATAGGAGCATTTCCAAGCATGTATTCTGGTGTGTTTGTTCAGCCTGGTTCAGGACTGTAGGAATGGGTTAGAACAGAAATGGCCACGTGGCTACCAGGTAATTTCCCACACCAGCAAATCACCAATGCCGTGTCTCCCTTTGGATGCAGTCTCTGCAAGGTAGAAACACTCTAATCACTTTGAAGGAAATGACATAAGATGAAGCAGGCTGTTACTACTGTAAGCCTTTTAGATCCGTGGCACTCCCTGGCCCAGAGCCCCAAGGTGTCATGTAATAGATGTTTTATTATCCTATTGTAGTGTGGCAAGAATGCTTATGCTTCATAATCAGTTGCATTCCTCTTTATATTTCCTTGCACAAAAGGAAACAGGTCAGCAGGCTAACCTGCAAGGGTAACCCATTTGCAAATTGCTTTTGGTTCTCCACAACACGAATCCCTGGGGCCTCCTGAAATTTCCTCGGGACTCCTGTGTACCATGACCTTGGTTTGGGAATTTCTGGCGGATGTGAATGAGAGTGTCACTCACTTCTCACAGGTATATTCACCACCTTGCTCTGGATAGGCTCGTGGCCGTTGTCAGCTTGACAATAATATTTGCCGGCATCACTCTCCTTCACAGACAGGATCTCCAGCTCTGCTGACAGGGAATGCTGGGTTTTCTTTCCCAGACTGGTGCCTGTGGCCTCTCTGTACCAGGAGAAGGTGACATTTCCTGTACCCCCAGCCACTGAGCAGAGCAGGATCAGTCTCTGTCCTTCAGTCACTTGTCCCCCAGGGGCCCGGGTCTCCAAGCTCACATTAGAGATGGGAATTCCTAGATGGGTATAAGGTAACAGGTGAGAACTCTAAGGGAAACTCTGGGAATAGGGTTTGACTGATTCCATTCTCTAATGCAAGGAGTGGGAATGTGGAGATTGTATAGATAATCCATTATAAGCATTCCTATGGAGGTAAGGAATCTATGACAACTATCCTTGAGGAATGTGGACAAAGATCTTTGTATGTCCTAACCCTGGCTAATTTCATGGATGGTGATATTTAAAGAATTTGTGATGGATCATCCACTCCATGAGACAGGAAGCTGTTCAATTTTTTGGAAGAGTCACTGGCAGACAGATGCCTTTTACACAGAATATAGACGGCACAGATATCATCAGTCCCGCCTTGGAAAGTCACAGTCTCAATAACAATTCCCCTATCATTCCTAATTTCAAGCTTCAACCAAATACAACTTCTCCTCTGACCGCTCCATTCACTCAGATCTGCTTTTCCTGATGCTTCAGATAGTGCTATACACTATAGCACCACATCGCCTTCAGATAAGTCAAACTGGGTTGCAATTTCAGCATGTGGAGACATTTGGAAAGCCATTAGAAAGCAGGTGGTTTGTCTTTCAAAGTACCCCACCCACTGCTAAATGACAAGGCATATGGTCAGTGATCAATCAGGGCTTGATCAATGAATATTACTTAACTAATTAAAAAAAAAGATGATAAGGGGCTTTAGTCCATTTCTGATTCTTATGAAGAAAGAAGCCAGGAGCAACCTGGAGGGTTTTCTAGCTTAATGTTCACTTTCTTCAAGGACAGGAGTTGAACAAGGAAACAAGACGACTAGCAATTCAAACTGAGGCTATAGCACTCCTGTCTTTTCTCTCCAGGTCCAGCCTCACCGATACTTACTCCGCACACGAATCTGGGATGGGAGGCTCTGTTTTCTGACCCTGGGAGTCACCGTTTCTGCCTTGCACCAGTAAGAGCCTGTGTCGTCACTCCACATGGCAGGAATCTGGAGCTCCGGGGAGCTGCTCCAGCCTGACCCCAGGACCTGGTTTTCTCTGAGGAAGCAGAACTGGAGCTGAATATACAGCCTTCGTGGAGAAAGCCGGGTCTCACATGTCAGGCTCACTGGACCCCCTTCGATGGGCTGGAAGTCACTGGCTGTCAGCACAGGATGTTGAAACAGCTCTAGAGAGAAGGATCACAACAGTCCCCAAAGCAGTGAGGTCTAAGGTCCCTGCTGAAAAGCCCCTGGTAAGAAGCAATTCCAGCAAACAAGACATTCAGAGCCAGACACCTCTTACCCATCATGGCTCCCTTGATGGTCAAACCACAGCGCTCCAGTCTGTATTTGGCCCATGAGCAGCTTCCGCCTGCAGAGTACCCACCCTGCCTTGCTGCCGTGGTCTCTCACCCAGCCCATCCCAAAGAAGTGAGGGTTTTACCTTGGACTCTGATCTTTACTATATTTGAATTTTGATCCGGGAACAGGAACTTTCCTTTGGTCCTACAGAAATAGTGACCACTGTCACTTAAAACTGCACTTTGGATACGGAAACTTGAGACTTCTTTGAAAACAGATAACTCTCTGTTATCCTTGTAGTAAGCCATCGTCTGGATTTTCCAGTTCCATTCTCCCTGGCATATCAGAACGATGCTGTCTCCTTCAAAGACGGAAGAGGGCGCCAAAAGGGTCAGCTCGCCTGCAAGGGAAGGAGGGAAACTGGATTTGCCATTTCTGCAGAGAACCCAGACAGTCTTTGTGGCAGGGAGGTGGTCTTAGGCATAGCCTCTACTTCTTTAGACAATGTAGAGCTCCCAACCCACGCCTCAGTTACTGACAGCTGCATCCCATGTTTCTTGAGGGGATATGAAAGCTTGTGCTGCTATAACAAAATGCCATAAACTGAGTGGCTTATCAATAACAGAGATTTATTTCTCACAGTTCTGGAGGTTGAAAGTCTGAGGTCAGGGTGCCAGCATTGTCTGGTTGTGGTGAGGGCCATCTTCTAGCCTGCAGCCTGCCAACTTTTCCCTCACATGGTAGAAAAAGAACCAGCTAGCGCTGTGGACTGTTATAAAGGCGTTAGTCCTATTCATGGTGGTTCCCCCTCATGATCTCATTACCTCCCAAAGCCCCCCCACACAAATACCATCACTTCTGGATTAGGGTTTCAACCTAAGAATTTGAGGGAGATACAAACATTCCGTCTATTGCAGGGGTGTCAAAGCAATCTTGATTTTTTAATGTTTAATTTTTTAATGTTATCAGAAGGAGCGTTCTGATAAACTCCTCGTCTTCAGCTTTCTCCATCACTGACACCACACAGGGAAACCACTGTCCTCAGCGGGCACTTTATTTTCTCATCCCCCATGCCTTCGTCCAGCCCTCAGAGCTCTACACTGTCTTATAAATTCAGGTCTCATCCCTTCTTCTTGCCTCGCCAGATAAAACCATCAGGTGGCCTGGATTATTGGAAATGAGCCAGTTACTGGAATAAGATCCAGTATCTTTAATTCTCTACTTGAATGCTTATGGAAAATATTTTTCTCATCTATTCAATGAAGTAGAGATTGTTTTTAATCCAAGACTCACTTCCTAGAGACTGATCATATACGGAAAAAAGCTATCGCCAAAGACAAATGTCTTCCCCAGAGGTTGCTTCCTTATTTTGACTCTATCACTTCATTTATTTATGGTACCAGACTATGTTTTGTGTTTGTGACATCTTCATGATATTTTAGGATTATAGTAGAGGATTTTGACCACAAAATAAGGAATTAAGTTATACCTCAAATAAAAATCTTCTTGGGCCGGGCGCGGTGGCTCACGCCTGTAATCCCAGCACTTTGGGAGGCCGAGACAGGTGGATCACGAGGTCAAGAGATCGAGACCATCCTGGTCAACATGGTGAAACCCCGTCTCTACTAAAAATACAAAAAATTAGCTGGGCATGGTGGCATGTGCCTGTAATCCCAGCTACTCAGGAGGCTGAGACAGGAGAATTGCTGGAACCCAGGAGGCGGAGGTTGCGGTGAGCCGAGATCGCGCCATTGCACTCCAGCCTGGGTAACAAGAGCGAAACTCCGTCTCAAAAAAAAAAAAAAACCTTCTTATCACTATTCAGTTGTATCATGACTGTTAGATGTGTAGAAGGAAGTAGAAATCAATAAAATGAGCAATGTGATGACTCATAAAATACTACTGCAGAGCTAGAGCCAAAAAGTCACAGGAGATTCGTGGAGTTTGGAAAATGTATGGCTGTTCCAACAGAACTAGAATTATCTGTTGGACATTAGGGAACAATCTAATTTTTTTAATGAAATTAGAAGGGCAGAATAGGTGTGTTGGAGAAACAACTAAGTTAATTCAAGACTTGTGCCCTCCTTTGCAAATGGACACTAGATCTCATGGAAACGCCACTGTGGGACTTGGAATCCAGCTGACTTTTAAACCACTGGTAGAGTCTTCCTCCACAAACAGAAGAGATTCCTGTAAGAACGCCCCTGGTGATATGAAGAGGAGTCATGACTAGAGGCGCTGTTGGAAAGGGCAAGACAGGCAGTCTCACTGGCTCCAGCTACCGCCGGCAAAGTGAGACTTTGAGTTGGTCCTTAGAGATGATTCGTGTCCTCAAACTGCTTGGTAAGAGGCAGACTGTCCCAAGAGCAAGCTGGAGGATGGAAAGCAGTGAGGAGTGGATGATCCTGAGTCCCTAACAGCAGACCAGCTAGTGGGAGCAGTGGGGTGAGCTGACTTGCAGCCCCCGAGAGGAATCGCTGGGGGGAGAGAGGCTAAAGCTCAGAGGTGGGAAAGTCAAGATGCAGCCAGAGAGTCTCACCAGGGGATACTGATCGATTTCAGTTCTCAGAATTTTTAACCTAGTGGTGAAAAGCCAGATCATACTGCTTTGAATCCAAGTCTACTATTGTTACCTGTGTGATACCAGACAAAGCACTTTACTCTTTGGACCTTGGTTTTGTAATAAACTCTCCTATTTTTCTAAGGAAAAAAAAAGAAATATTTTTACCTTTTTCCTTCCCCTAACTCCTACTTAGCTCTTTAGGAATGCAATCAGAATCTTTACCTTCTCTCCACAAGCTACTCCTTGCACTGAAAGCTTATCTATGTGTTTACTTAAAGGTTCCAGAGATAGAAACTTGAAGCAAACCAGATGCCTCCAGAGCTCTCTCCCCCCAGAAAATTGCCTCAGTTTACAACCTAGCTCTGCCCACATTGTGCCAGCCAGACACATGCCATCCAAAGCAAGTCATGTAGACTTGTGCCACCTTGCTCCCTCCCCTGCATGCTGTTCACACCAAGTCCCCCTTTGAAAGCCCTTGCCTTCTGCCCCAGAAGCTGAAGTGGTACTTTCAAGGCAGGAGCCTGTACTGCTTCCCCTCAGCTAAGTTTTTGAATTAAAAAGTCATTTTCTTTCCTCCAGATCTCTCTCTTGTTAATTGGACTTTGTAAGCAGTGGGCAGCTGGACCTGTGTTCGGTTACAGTTTGTCATCTGAGAAATGGAGCAACAAAGAGCATTTGTCTCTCATCAGCCTGCCTCAAGGATTCTGTGAGAAGCACACAATGGTGCTGGCATTTATGGACCACTCAGCCACACATCTTCACAGCCTCAATGGGGGATGCTGGCATTTATGGACCACTCAGCCACACATCTTCACAGCCTCAATGGGGGATGTCTTTGTTGCAGAGGCTAATGATGGCTGAGGAGGAATAAGAGGACATCATAACTGCACTTCAATAGCAACCAAAATAATGGGTTTCAGGTCTGTGAGATGGGTGGATTCAGGGATACTGAATAAATGAAGGTGATTTGAAGTCAAAGCCCCAAAAGTGATGTCCTACCTATGAGGTAGACAAGTTGGTCCACAGTTTCATATAAGGGAACCCAAAGGGTCAGAATAGGCTTTGTGTGAGAGTTTGTATCCACTTGCTTCCAGCATGGCAGTGACTGCTCTGATTCCAACCACCTGACAGTTTGGAGACCTCAGCAGAAGTGTGCTGGCTCCACACTGGCTGTCATTGGAGTGCAATCTCAAGAGCTCTAATTTGTGTGCACCGTTAGTGGAGTGCAAGGAGTCAGAGGCCCTAGAAGGGAAGGGCAATAAGCCCTAATGCTGACATGTCCGTCCCCACGGAGTTCCAAATCCTCCAGCAACTGGCTGAGAGTGGCTCTCTCTACAGAGGTGCCCAATAGAATCTTCCTGACCCCCAGAGAGTACAGAGGAGAACTGCATTGGAGGGTCAGTGGTAGGGGGCAGGGAGAAGGGTAGGTTGTGAACAGACAAGTTCTTGGGAAAAGCAGATAAGAAGGGCACAAAGATTTAACTCGGGGCAAGATGTACAGGACTGAATCATGTTTTTTCACAAGAATTTCACTGAAAAGTACCATTACAGCATTAACCAAAAGCAAATGGTATTTCTCAGAACATTGCATGAAAGGACAAGGTCCCAGGTGGTGAGTGCAGCGTATGGGTGGGGCTGAAAAGAGGAAATGGGGTAGAAGACCACGTTGAGGCAATGGATGGGGACAGAAAGACCTTTTCAGCCGCTATGCTGATTAGCATTTTCAAACCTTGCAGGGGAGTGTAATTCTCAACAGACCAGAAACTTTTCCCTGGAGACAAGACTGGGGTTCAGAGGCCAAGTGATGCCCAGCCTACTTAGCAGGTATATAGCAAAGCCATCATTTCAGTTTGGTCTTTCTGGCTATATAAGTCCTGCTCTTTCCAACACCTCATGCTGGACTAAATTTCCTATTACTCTTTTTAAAAAGAAAAGATCTCAAACTTGAGAAGACCATCTCAATTTTCTGAGAAGCTCTTGTGCAAGGAAAGGAAAGGTAAGAGAATGAAGTGGCTGTTGTCCTGTTCTCCGAATGGTTGTAAGTGATTCACTTCAGGGAGCCTGCCACCCGGGCATGATTCCACTAATGGTCAGAAACCTCCTGAGTATTGATTGAGGTTTCCTCTGATTTCCATCCAGACAGACAGTGGAGGGATGGGTATCACAGGGTGGAGCTCTGGGACCTTATGTGGGCAGAATGAATGCAAGAGACCAGACTTGTTCCTCAGCAAGCTCCACATAGGACCCCTGAAGTTCTCCCTGGATGCTCTTGTTCTATTCAACGTGAGGCTGGGATCTGCTTATCCCCACACTGTTCCTTAGAGCTCAAAGAGCCCCTTCCACTTGGGAGCCAACATTCAATAGACAAGGGAACAATTCTCCCTTACTTTAGACTTTGTCTTGGCTCATGTGAAGATTCTGTTTACAGAATAAAATATATTTTTCCATTGACTTTCTTCACTAAGCACAGATTTAACTCAGAGTAAAATAAAATTAGCTTTATTTCTGTCTTTATGATTAGAACAGTAATAAATGTATTGTTAAAAACTCAAAACATACTAAATCTAGAGCAGGGGTTGGCAAATTATGGCCTGTGGGCTGGCCAACATTGTTTTGGTAAACAAAATGGTATTGGCGTGTAGCCATCCTCATTCATTTACATATGGTCTTTCCTGCTGCCACAGTGACGGTACTGAGTAGTTAACAGCACACAGCTGAAAAGCTTAGCCTCTTTACTCTCTTGCCTTTTACAAGAAAAGCTTGCTGACTCCTGAGCTAGAGCTAGAGAAGCAATGAGGACACAGGTTTATTGTGACCCTGCAGAAGTTTGTAGTTCTGACATTTTCCTTTATGAATAACTGTTCATTCAGCGTTCAGGCAGAGTATTGAGGCCTTACAGTCCTATGGGCAGGAAAACACTCCTCTCCAAATTGCTCTTCTCTCCAATCTGTACGCCTCCTTTCAGATATTACTGACCTTCAATACAGCCAGGCTTTCAAAGCAGAGGCAAGCATCTGGGACCTTGAGAAGCTTGGGTGGGACCTGGGTCGTCCAGGCACGCAAGCGGTGGTGGAAACAGGCTGCGTGACCTGAGAACACGTCGGCCTGGAGAGCAGTAACGTTAGGACGTCTTCACAGGCTTTCCAGAGCCACCTTTACAGAACCCTGGAGTAGCTGGGTAACTGATACACCTGAGACCGAGAACAGCAAAGGAGACTCACCTGCCTGTTCATTGACTGCAGCTGTGAGGAGACCAAAAGCCAGAGATTAGCACACAGCATTTGCCCTCATAATTGACAAATTTTTATTACTCTGGTAAATTGCTCAAAAACTTCTTTCCATTTTTTCTCCCTTTTCTGTTTCCCTAATCTCTCAAGATGTGTGCTCGAGGAGAGACTGAATTGTTAGTAATGAGAGATTAGGGAAATAGATTGCTTAGTCACAAGGCGAGTTGCAAGCCCAACCCTTGACTAAAGGGATTGTCGAGAATACCCACATTAAATATGTAGTGACTCTCCTTGATTTCATTTTTCTTCTGCTATCCCCCGCAAGTCTATCTCACACTCAACTTTTCAAGTGGTAGACAGACGTGACAGCATGATCATAAAGGGCTCATCAGGAAACATACATCATGAGAGTTCAAAGAAATCAATAAATCAGTCTTTTTCCTGTGGCCATATTTTACGTTAGAGCCCTTTTATTCCAATAACAAATACTTATTTAGTGCCTACACAGCATAGAGAGAGGAATCTCCTTTTTTTTTTTTTTTTTTTTGAGATGAAGTCTTACTCTGTTACCCAGAATGGAATGCAGTGGCGTGATCTTGGCTCACTGCAATATCCACCACCTGGGTTCAAGGGATTCTCCTTCCTCAGCCTCCCAAGTAGCTGGGATTATAGGCACCTGCCACCATACCCAGCTTATTTTTGTATTTTAGTAGAGACGAGATTTCACCATGTTGGCCAGGCTGGCCTCGAACTCCTAACATCAGGTGATCCACCCGCCTCGGCCTCCCAAAGTGCTGGGATTACAGGCGTGAGCCACTGTGCCCGGCCAGGAATCTTATTTTCTAGCAGCAGCTGTCATCACCCTCATCGTCCATGATTAAACAGAAGATTAGCAAAGGGTTTCAATGCATCTGCTGAACCCAAATCTTACAGACAACAACTGAATCATCGGAGTTCATGGAGGAGAAGGGCAATGCTAAATGCTAATGTTATGAACATTTTACTATGAGGACATATTATTCAATGAGATCTAAGACATTAAAATGGCAATTCATGACCAGCAAATGGCAAAGTGTTCTACCTTGAACACTAAGCATTGTGCTTAATGCTTAGTGGATGTGCAGCAATTTCATTGTCCTCAGCCTACTTCTTCACATCTGCCTCTGAAGCCCAAGCTGGAGGAAGGACCTGAGCACCCTCACCATTCCCTGTGTCCGATAAAACCTCCAACCTTTTGGGAGCTGTAGATCTCATTCTGCTGCCACCTCAGTTCTCAGCCAAATTATTGAACTCACCAAAGATGACCAGCAATGACCACAGCAGCATGAGGGCCTGATCCAGCTATTTGAAAAGAGATGTACTCTTGGCCACAAACTGGAGCCTCTGAGCAGGGGATGAAATGTGGTTTTCAGAGTAGGTTTTGTATAATTAGCAAAAAAGGAAGTAGAAGATGTCACGATGTTTGGCCATTATCCTTTGTCCTGTAAGGGCTAAAACAATTATAGCTGATCCTTTCAATGCCAGAGAAATTCCATACCCTGACACTCATGATGAGAGCAGACATTTACATATGGGTGGTAATGAGTCAGACACAGTTCTAAGTGCCTCATGCTTACAAAGTTATTTATACCTTCAGCGAGTTTCTGAAGTTGGCACTATCTCCTTTCACGATTGAGGAAATTGAGGCACTAGTAAAGATAAGTGTCTTAGCCTATTAGGGCTGCCATAAAGAATACCTTCCACTGAGTAATTAATAAAAACACAACTTTATCACTTGTAGTTCAAGAGGCTGGGAAGTTTAAGATCAAGGCACCAGTAGATTTCGTTCTCAGGCCTCAGTTCTCAGAGATGGTGTCTTCTATGTGTCTTGACACGACAAAAGGGGCAAACAAACTCCCTCAAGATTCTTTTACAAGGAGACTAATCCTTTTCATAAGAATTCCACCCTCATGACCCCTAAAGGGATCCACCTTCTATTAATGAGTTAATGAAATTCATTACTGATTAATGAAATCAAGGAGAGTCACTAAATATCCAATACAGGTATTCTTGACGTTCCCTTTAGTCAGGGGTTGGGTTTGCAACTTGCCTTGTGACTATACAATGAATGACAGCTCTGTGCTCGAGGGAGACTAAACTGTTAGTAATGAGAGATAAAATAAATAAAAGGTGTCCACCTTTTATTCTTATTGTATTAAGTATCAAGATAAGAATTTTTCCAGGACACAAACATTCAGACCATAGCAGCAAGCAAAATGATCAAGATCAGCATAGTCAATTTCTAGTAGTAACAGAGCTGGGATTCAAAGCCAGGGAGCCCAGTTCCACAGTCTGGCTCTTAAACATTGTGCCATATTATCTTGATATATTATTTCTGAATGTCCTTAAAATAATAAGGCCATTGTTTCAATAGCTCATATTTCTTAAGTAAAATTTTCTTTTCTTTTTCTTCTTCTTTTTTTTTTTTGAGTCGGAGTTTTGCTCTTGTTACCCAGGCTGGAGTGCAATGGTGCAATCTCGGCTCACCACACCCTCCACCTCCTGGGTTCAGGCAATTCTCCTGCCTCAGCCTCCTGAGCAGCTGGGATTACAGGCACACACCACCATGCCCAGCTAATTTTTTGTATTTTTAGTAGAGATGGCGTTTCACCATGTTGACCAGGATGGTCTCGATCTCTTGCCCTTGTGATCCACCTGCCTCGGCCTCCCAACGTGCTGGGATTACAGGCGTGAGCCACCGAAGTAAAAGTTTCTTTAGTCAATCGCAGACTTTCTAGAATGATATTTTACTAGACCTTAAAACACTTGCTGCATATTGCTGAAAACATTGCCATTTTTCCTTTTGTACTCCAGGCTGATCCTAATCTAGTTAACCCACACAGAGCAAAGCAGGCGTCATGTGAACACCTTTTATCACGCTCACTTTGATCAGATATAGTCCCGGTGGATGTTATCTCATAAATGATCCTTATGCAGGATGAAACTCTAAACCACAAAATCATAGGTCCTTTTAAACTGGGCCCTACCTGAAAATATTCATAGACTCTGCGTAACCTGTTCCGGTACTTACATTTACCTGAATACTTAACATTGAATTTTTAACAACGGAATACTTAACACTTTATTCTCACTATTATCATAGTTTTTATTTGAGAAATGCTTATTTTTATATGGGATGGTCATTAGAGCCTTGCTTATAAGAATATAAAAAGAAAATACACAATATCTCACAAGGAGAGATGAGGGTTAAAAATAAGTTACGTGTCAAAATGATATGGAAAACCAAACAGCCATTAGAATAATTCTGTAGAAGAATATTTAATAGCAGGATAAGATGTCTAGGCTCTATGGTTAAGAAAAAAGTGGCTTCAGAGTGCATTTTATCTGCTGCACGTCACCTCCCTGCTCACCACTTAAAAAGTGTCTGACATAATCAGCACCACAGAGTTAGTGTAATTACATCCGAAAAATCTAATTAAAGCCGAGTTTTATTTTCCTCATTTTGCTTGTCTGTGTTTTTCTACTATTCTTACAATAAACATATGCTATTTACGTACTTTTTAAAGACTCACATAAAACAAAAGCTAGGTTTTATGGCCTCTCTCATCTTTAAGTGTTGAAAACAACACTACTTTAACTTCCTGCATAGGCAAATGGTCTGTATGTGTTTGAAAGAGAAAGTTGTTCTCTCCCAGAACCAAAGCTGACCTTATCATCAAGTCTTGCCTACCGAATGGGTTTCTAGGTGGCCTATAATTCTTCCCCGTTCTGACCAACCTGGAAGGTATAGAAATTTTGTGGATGGGAGGGAATTAAGGAAAGCAGTAAAGAGAGGAGCATGAAAAAGATGGTGGAGGATTGATGGTGGGTACAGGTTTTTCATAGACAGCAAGGAGATTTTTCAAAATATCTGTATCCCTTCACTGATTTCTATATACCCTCTATGGAAATGTGGCCTCTTCAGTTAAAAAATCAATATTTCTTAAGGTCTTAGCAAATGGTATGGGGTAAAATTCACAGTTGGTATAAAAGGTACAGGTGGAAAGCAGCAGAAATGAAGTGGGTGGGTCACAGAGATGGCAACAAATCCTCTAAGATGATAAACACGTTCCATGCGGGTGCTACTCTGACAGACGGCAGTCATTTACCTGTGAATAGGCATATCCTGGAAGCATACCTAAACTTGGATGCACGCCAGGGACCATGGCCAGAGATTAAGAGGATTAACAGATATTTGGGGCAGGGGAAGCAACTTATTACTTAAGGTAATAGTGGCAGGAATAAAATTGTGTGTTTGTAGGTTTGATCGAAGTGAGAGAAAGCAGCACTCTTCGTGCAAGGATATTTTGCCACCAACAGGATGGAGTCACAGGTATGAGAGAGAAGCAGCATCGGACATACGTATAAATGCCTCTTAGATCAACCAGGTGAACGCTTAACATGGAGATTCCACAGGTGGTAACATACTGAAGCCTATTCTGCCAGATGCAAAGCAACAGTCGTCTCTGTGCACCGTGTTCAATGTCTCGCATGGAACATAAAGTACGGTGCCAAGCTGGGGCATGCCGGACTGCGACAGAGACAAGTAGAGTCTGCATGATACACGTCAGAATAAAACAAATCACACCTCCTACTTGATGAAGTTGATTACTAGGACAGTTAGCCTGGAAGAATAGAAAATGAAGCAGGTTAACTTCCAAGATCCCTAGCTAGCATCTTTTGAGCTTGGGGTTCCAAAGTCACTAGGAGAGAATTAAATGTCATAATATATGCGAATTACTTGTTATAATAATTGCTGCATAAATGGCAGTAGAAGTAGTCGTAGTCATGGTCATCATCGTTGCTGTGGCAGTAGTGGCGGCAGAAGTTTAAATAATTACTAGAGTTACCTTGAACAGCATGATATGTCTTTGTTGGGTGGGGCTTTCCCCAATAATGTCCTGTCCAAAGTAGTAACTAGATACTTTTGGAGTTCTATAGAGGAGATGCTGTTTGTTGAAGAACTTGCTAGCAGAAATCCAAATGTTGTCTATGCAGACACTCTCCAACGTAATTTAGACAGAGCCAGGCCCTTCTGTCCAGAAGATTTTTTACAATGAAATGTATTATTTCTAGAAGTCCACTGGGGCTCTACGTGGGCCAAATAGCATGACAGAAATTCAGACAGGGTGTGAATGCGCGGAAGCTCGAGTTCGTTAACTCCCTGGAAGATCTGAAGATAACAACACCCCAGAGTCAGAGAAGGCAAGAGTAAGTTGTAGTTGTAGATAGTGATATCTCTAGGGGACTGCAGTTTTACAGAGTTCATTTTTTTTCTTCTTCGTGAAGAGTATCAGTTTCTTTAGTAGCAATAGAAGCGATGGTAAATCCTTATAAAGAAGATATGCCTCTTTCTTCCTATAATGTAAGTGGAGCAGAACCCAGCCTTGGTGTCTAAGGGAAGGCAGAGACACAGGAAGACTTAAGGAGGCTCCTGGAAGACATCAGAGCAGCAGCTGTGATGGGGAGCAGTCTTCTCTCTGAGTGTGAAAATACCTCCTGGCAGGCGGCCTGGCCCCCTGAGAACAGCAGGTGGGGAGGGATGCCTAGGGGTCAAAGACAATTCAGTTCAAACCTTTCTACTTTCTGTTTTAATTGTATAAGTGAGTTTTCCAGAAGGTGGATGGGTTATGATTTTTCAGGCAAGAAGACAAAGGGAGCTGTGAACCATGGGTCATCGACTACACCAACCCTTAATAGAGTAACCCAGAGCAGCTTCCTGTGAGTGTCTTTCTGGCAGGCTGGTGAGCATCAGTTCTGTTGCAGTAGGAGGAAACATCAAGAACCAAGATCCAGATCACACTGATGGCTTTCTATCTTGTTTTACCACTTTTTTCTCTTTTTTCTGGCTCACTCTTCTAACACACTCTGCTAATAACTTTTTCACAGTTCATAAAGGTATAATTCCTAAGCATAACCATCATTCATTCCTTCATGTATGCATCCATACATTCAGTTACTCAGTAGAGTTTTATTCAGTGTCCTCTACTTTATGGGCAATATACTTGGCACTAGATGTGCACAGATAAAAAGATATGGTCTCTACCCTTAAGGAAATCACATTCCAGCATCAGAAGACTGACAGAGAAGAGTAAACATACTTGTGTCTCACATGCTGTGGTGGAGCTCCGTACAGCATGTGAGTGGGCGCAGTGGAGATTAAGGAGTAAATGAATTTTGAGAGAAAGATTTTAATCAAACAAATCAAGACTTGGGAGGATGGAGAAGTTCTAGGCCTAGAAAGCAGCATGGTAAGAGGGCAGGGACCCATTCCGGCTGCTCAGGTA